CACTCAACACAAGGGCGATCAGAATAGCCTTCATTTTCTCAGATTTTTGTGAAATTATTACGACTTGAGACAAATTTAGGAGTTTATGTTGTTGAAGGAGTTGTAGAAATGATTGTCATAGCAAAGTTTATTCCCTTTTTGTATTGAACTGTGGGGATAAATCTGGATTGTTTCGGGGTGATTATAAATCGATTTAATATGACATTAGTACATATTAGGCAATTAGTTTTTTTAGAAGGCGAGGTTTTCCTCATTAATTAGTAAAAACGGGGTTTACCAAATTTTGTAATTTATGTAGACACAATGTTGCTAAGGATTACAAAGACTAAATCGATTTTAGACCCTACGATGCACTATAATTCCGAATTGTCGAATACCATTATTTATCAGCTAAAAAGTTTGCCTAATTACGCTGAAATTCAATGTTCATTACTATTCCAACATAAAATATGTATGGTTAGTTACAAACCGATAATTATCTACTACGATTGGGTACTAATCATTTTTATACTGAGATTCGTAACTGGGAAGTGAAAAGAATTATTAACTATAATGTTGGAAATAACGCTTATGAATGCTTAGGTAGAAATTGGTCAAACAGTCTTTTCCCGAAAGATATATTGTTTAATCCACAAAGTACAAACCGAATGGGGTGGACAAATTTACGGTCGTGTCGAGAGATTTCAAATGATGATCAAACCGCATAATATTGCCTTCTGTGCGGACCTGATATACATTTACATTCTAATTAAATTTGTGAAAAATTTACCAAGCTTGAGTAAAAAAACACAAGCAATGTGGGTGACACAATAATTTTGCGTCAATTTTACACAGCATTATTTAGAGTGTGTATTACTTGAATGTGGTCTGTGGTTGCAAAATAATATGCAATAAAATATTTAAATTAAGCATAATTACTTAATTACACATTTATTAAGCAAAAGAGTTATACTGTTATAGTGAATGAATAATTTATTCATTCTTTAGTAAATGAGTGAATGAATAGTTTATTCATTCTTTAGTTAATGAATGAATGAATAATTTATTCAGTCTTTAGTAAATGAATCAACGAATAATGTATTCATTCTTTAGTAAATGAATGAATGAATAACTTATTATTGAATGATGAACAGGTTGAAGCGTACCATTTTCCCCTCCAAATTTCACCCTCAGCCCCTGCATCGGAATTAGACTCCGCGAGTACCGCGAAGCCATGTCACTCTGCACGATGGTGAAAACCTTCAACTTGGGCATGCACAGTGGGCCAGGAATTTCAAAAAGTGGCCGTTAAGGCAGTGTCGCGATTTGGCTTAACTAGTATGACATCTTACCCTTTGTAACCAATTTGACCTTGGTGTAAAATATTAAGGCACAGGTTCAAGCCAATCAGATAAACGAAGGGGTTAAAATATTTATAATACATTACGGAGATAGGGATTTTACATCTTCTTACTTTGCCGCCCAACGCCGTGCATGTATGACTAACTACTGGCGTCATTAATTAGGTAATAGTGGTGGGATGATACACTGCTGCGACCAGCTGCGACCATCAAGCTTTATTCCGACCACACCCACTTTTATTCATTAAACTTAAAAAAGTCAAATTTAAGTTGAATTAATTTTACTCAAGTATGTTTTAAGTATACTCAACCATTGGACTTGATCAGCAAACTGAGGTGGTAGCAGGAAAGTATCTTTGCTTTAAAAACCACACCCTCTATGGTAGAAAAATTTAAATTAAAAACATTTCTTGCTGAGAGGCTTAATGACCGATCTTGTCATGCTTAACAACATTAACAATTGAAATTCGGATTACTTTTCCAATTGTTGACCGATTTTCAAATTGTTGACTGTTTTGGAAACCTTATGTCAATGGGCGAAATATACATTTCTAGATTTTTTAAATTCGACCACACCCCCTCGACATTAAGGTTACAAGGTCAAACAAATTGTAAAATATAATTAATGAATGCTGCAAAATTTAAAACAATAAAAACCGAACTACATGTCTAAAAAATACCTCGACACCCTGGGCACTGCCAGCAATGTTTGAATGGTCATATTCCACACCCCCAGTGGGTGTGGCCCTCGGCGACTTTTTGATTTTAATGGAGCCATGTCATGTGATATATCATTTTTCTCAGCTCGACAAGGGGGTTTCTACGGAATACCTAAAATTGTGAAACCGCTCCCCTAGTGGGTGTGGTTCTCAGAAAATTTTCGATTTTAATAAAACCATGCGATGTGTTATGTCATGTTTATCAGCTCGACGACAGGATCTCGACAGAATAATTAAACTTTAAAAACCACGCCCTTAGTGGGCGTGACCCACTTTCTGCGATTTTTCAATTTTAAACAACCCATGTCACGTTATATAGTATTTTGTCAGCTCAACTAGAGGATCTCGACAGAATTGTTAGACTTTTGAAACCATGCCCCCAGTGGGTGTGGCGTTCAGCGAATTAAAGTTGTTTTTTCCGATTTTAAATTTCTACCACACCGAAATAGCACAACATGTGTGTTTGCGTTTCCATGAACGCTCGTGTTTTCGGTTGTGGCGGTTTTGAGTACATTTTCAGCTAAAATTTAAATTTGTCAAAAAGTTGTATGTTTTGTAATTTTAACGCTATATCAAAATCGAAAGAACTAAAACATTTTTTCTCAAAAATTACTAAAAATAAAATTATAAAAATGCGCTTCTAAAAATTTAAAACTTTATATGCTATTTCGGAATTTTGACTAATGCGACAAGCAATTGTGAAAAACTAAATTTTTTGAAAGTGGAATTTCTTAATTTACGTAATGCTATTCTAGTTATTTTGTAAAAGTCCCCTCATTTAGTTAAAAGAAATGATGTATTACAGGACATGACATGGTTTAATTAAAATCGAAAAGTCGCTGAATGTTGATTTTAGGTATATCGTCGAAAACCCCTTGTATAGCTGAGAAAAATGATATAACACATGGCATGGTTTTATTAAAATCGAAAGTTTTTTGAGAACCCCACCCACTGCGGGTGCGGTTTCCCAGTTTTAGGTATTCCGTCGAAACCCCCTGGTCGAGCTGAGAAAAATGATATATTACATGACATGGTTTCGTTAAAATCGACAATTTGCTTAGAGCCACACCCACTGGGGGTGTGGTTTCAATATTTTAATGATTCTGTTGAGATCCCCTCGTCGAGCTGAGAAAAATTATATATCATATCACATGGTTTCATTAAAATCGAAAAGTCGCCGAGGGCCACACCCACTGGGGGTGTGGCAGGTGACTGTTAAAAATTTCCTGGTATAATATATGCTTTAGGTTATTGTTGCACACCAAAATCTAATTTTAATTTCTTCAATTTCGGCTCAAATATATTTTTGGCCACAATTTATTAAATCTGGCCCACTGTGGCATGGCTGGAAACACGATGGGGCCTCATTGACACCCCAGGAAGGCGACGCGTTAAACAATCGGAACAATTTGATGCCCTCCAACGTCTCTGAGACTGTTTTAAGAATGCCGGAATAATGGCTAATGTTATCGGACAATTTACTCAATTCCAGCCGGGTGATAGACGGCGTCCGCTGGATAGGCCCGGGAAGATTCAAATTTGAATTTCCCCCGGTGAGAAACTTATCCAGGACGGTTGGGTCAATTCCCTCGGCCGATAAGGCTCCCAGATTTGGAAAGAGGGGCAAAATTTTGACCAGATGGGCAGAAGATGCCCACGTGGGGGACTCCATTCCGAGTTTACGAACCTTCCAAAAGACACATGATTTTCCGGGGGGAGGAGAAAAATTAGTGAAGGTTATTTCCCCCCATGTGATCAGGACTATGCGGAGCTTGGTCAGATTGGGGAGGTGGGTTGACAGGTATTCCAAATATTGGGGCCATTTGGGATCAAAATGGGTGGACACGTGTATCTTCAGGTTGATCAAGTGGTGGCCATGGTTCGAAAGAAAATGGGTTACTTCGGGTCCGCAAGAATATTCGAAGGTAGTGACGTACAAATTTCTGGGGCGGTTATTTCGGACGTTGATAATGTTTAGGGAGTCGGTTATATTTTGGGGGGTGAGGGTAATCCATTTTTGAGTAAGGAGGCGGTTTCGAGCTTCAATTTCCCAGCCAGTATTGATAAAGGTGCAGGTGACGAGGTCAGATGGGGGGAGAAAGGGCATTACTTTGGCCAAAATCTGGAGGGAATAAACATATGTACATAAAAACTCTTAGAAATCCAATAATAAAATTGGACCAAGTGGGATTAATGTATACAAAAGTGGCAGAGTAATACTGTGTAGGAACATTAAAGGTCTGCATTTAAAGTTTTACCATAGCGGTAGTAAATTTTAGGGTTCTAGATATATACATAATTTTACTGAAGAGACTTTAATACCGAGAAAGAAATACCTGCCTGACTACTCCAGGTTCAATTCAATTCACCTTTATTCAAGTGTTAGTCACATTCAGTCGATAAGACTGGTTTACAAGTTATAACACATTACAAAATAAAAACTCTGTCTACACTAAATAAAATTAAAATCCCCTCATGAATTAGAATATTGATTCTGGAAACATGTGCCATTAAAACAGTTGAAAAACAAAAAATTTCTTAGTGAACCGAATTATAACCAAAAAGAACAATCCTTGACAAAAAATTATTTAGATTATCCAATACCACGGTTTTCCAACATACTAATACACTTCTCATACTTACACTTAAAAACCATAGATGTATAATACATATCTGCAAAATGATCTCGTAACGGGTTCAATACTTTCACCAATTTGCGTATTAATTTTTCAGAACCAAAAGGCTTACATAATACAATAGCATTCATCTTGATCTTAAAAATTGGTACACAGGTGGGACAAGCCCAGTTTTTAGAATATACAATGTTAAAATACGATTGATCGGATAATATAATATTGCATCTATTTTTGTGAAAATAATTAAAACAATATACGCATTGTAGGAATCCACAATTCCATTCAGATCCTATGATGTTGTCGGTAACTGTTACAGAGTAGAGCGTTTCATTAAGAGTTAAGTGGAACGTATCATCAATTATCTCCTGTCCACAGAGATGACAATCCGGTCCAGCCGCATTTTCGCCCCAATCCATAAAAACCAATAGGTCCTGAATAACATCATCACAGAGGTCGTCATTATCTCCACTATCAATAATAACGTTGGTTTCAGAATTTACAAGCTGGATGACTCGTTCAAATTGTGGATAGAGCATTGTGGGAAGAGGTCCAAAGAGAATCAGATCAGATCATATGGAGAGGCCCAACAAAAAAATCATACATTAATCAGAGAGATAGTGTAAAATACACAAACATGAACCTTTATTTTAAAAGAAATGATCTCGCCTTGTGAAGGCACTTTACGTGCAACAGAGCGGCCAGCCCGCAGACAACCGCACGGTCTCAAACTCCGACCGAGCACTTGGGGGCGTAGAGGACGCTCCGTAAGTAAGTCGGAATCCCCTCAGAAGAAGCGCGAGTGGAGTGAAGTGAGCAGAATGCTAAATGCAGATTTATAGACTATGTGTAGGGAGCAATATAAATACATTACGAATCGCCAAAGGGGGGAGGGGATCTAATGAGTAAAGAATGAGAAAATACATACCTCTGGCAAAGTAACAGCAAAATGAGGTTTCGTCCAAACATCACTGTTAAATTCCATGTCGACCAATTCCCGATTTCTGGAAATATGTATATCCAGTGTTAAATAATTACTAAACGATGTAATATTATATATTTGTCAGCTTTTATGACGCGTAATTACATGCAGAATGTCTCTCGGAAATTAATTATTGTCAAAAGTATTTACATATTCCAACGTTTAAACCAAGAATATACATATGCAACTTCAGTTAAAAATGTGCATGTACATAAGTAAACTAATCGGATCGTGATGCGCATTACAAATAAGGAATCCTTACACGTTTAAATCACTTTGTGGAGTTAGATTCAAGTCCTGCTAACTGTTTATTTGACCCTTTTTGGATAAATTTAGACGTCTACATTCTTGCCGGACCAATATGTAGGAAAGGAAGGGTTAGTATCCTAAACACTCGGTTTCCTTATTAATGTACATCCAATAGACTTACTTACATACATATTAAGAAGGTGAAGTCCTCTGGTACCTATGTATATTGGGTTCCTATTTAATAACTGATGAAAGTGTACTAAATATGTATGTACATATATGGTGAACCTTGTTTATTAAGGGGTGAAATCCCTTTTAATCAGTGGCGGCGGAAGATGACGTCATCGTGGGGACATTAGCGTTGCAGGATATAAGAAGGCGGGACTTCTTAACATTGACAGGATACCAATGTACCCCCGATGACGTCATCTTCCGCCGCCACTGCTTTTAATGTGATTCAACCGTTTATAAATACATATGTAAAACCATGTTAGAGTTTTTGCTACTCATCAGGACCGATTGTGCTGACCTGGCAGGGAAATAGGTTGAATGGTTATGAAGAAAATATCTAAAATCTATTATAACATTATACCGAACCCCGAAATTTTCACCCCGTAGCATGAAACAAACTTCGACAGTAAAAGAGCCAAATACTTTATTGTTTTTGATATATTAAACATTCTTAAACAGTAAAATAAAATTTTAGAAATTTTCTCATTCTTTAACAACTACGGGAACGGGACACTTTAATTCCCACGGGTTATCAATAAAGTACACGTGAAGGGCGGTAGTTCCAAATTTTTCGTTAACCTCTAGGATGCAATTCGGTGTCCTGTCGGGTCCAAGGATGACCTAGAGGATAAAAATAAATTCGGGGTTAAAATCATATTCACACTTATAAACTATGGGCGTACTCACGACAACTTCTTATTTCACATGGCAACTCATTTAGCAAACTTGCGGAGATCAAAATATTTCTGTCGTGATATGTAAGATTCGCAAAATATGACTTCGCAAATCTCTTTAATCTCGCAAATGTATTGAAAAACACCTTGTTTCCATGGATTTCGTTAATTTCTCTTGCTGGTAATGGTGAGGATGAATTCGCGAAGTAATTTTACGAAATAAGAGCATGCCCAAGTTCTGGTAAATTTGCGAAAAAAATCCCATATTTTTCCAGCAACAATTTTGCGAAATCTCGCAAAACTTCGCAAGTTACATTGCTATGCTCAATTTGCGAGATATGCGAAGGTTGACGTTAGTACGCTCAATTTAAATTTCCTGGATCCACATACATACCTTCAACCCTTGGGTTGGCGGAAACTCAAACATTCGGTGGGACAATTTCGCGAAAATTTGGAACACAAAACCGACCATTGCACCATCCAAATTGTAGAGCAGCTGGATTGGCTGGACTTCCCTACAGTTGGAATCCTGCCATTTCTCGACCTGCCAAAAATTGTGTAATCCCATTCCTTCGAGGCATTCGCAATTGGTGTAGCCCTCCTTGGCCGCGTCGGGACGATAGGTTGGAACATTCACGAGATTGGAGGGGTGTGGGGTGGCCCCATTTTGAAAGTAGAGCCCCGTCCCGGTACCTTGGCTGTGTAGACTGGTTTCGTTCCGTCCGGTAGAGCAAATCGAAGCTGTATCAAAATAATTTAGGTTATTGCCACTGTTTCTGTTTTATTTCATGCCTATAAATTTCTGAGAAAGATTCTGGAGTTTTACCCGGATTAACGAAATATGCCGTAAGGACTGTGTACCATTTTCCACCAATTATCTCATCTCGGAACATCGGGATTAAGTCGTAGCGAAATGGATTGTTAGCCCGGGTTGTGTCCGATTTATCCATCTAAATACATAGAGATTTTAGAATTTTAGTATTGTGGTAAGGTAACTGTTTTCCAGAAAATGAATTAATGAGAAACTAGAAGAAAACTGTAATTTACTGCCCTAATATCTTATTTATTGGGAAACTTAGTTCCCATATTTTCTGTAAATATGTAATTCCCATTATTTTATAGATTCGGATTTAGAATTTTTTTCAGATTATTTTGTCTGGTATACAGGGTGGTCAAAATGTCACGCTACAATGGAAAATTTTCCAATGGGAAAAACCCCTAAATTTTTATTAGTTACGGGACTTAGGATTGAGATTTTTATTAATTATTATCAAAACTGATGGCAAAATTCTTTCAAGAATTTCAGAGACAGGATTTGGGTAAATACTGGAAAGTTAAGAATTTTTCCCAGCGAAAAATTATCCATTGCAGCGTGACATTTTAACCACCCTGTATTTACAAAATTATGCATGAAACATGTACCCAAACTTGTATCCCTGCAATAATGCCGTTCCTATCAAAGAGTAAATAAATTCCATCCACGTTCCTGGTTTTGTACCGAAATCCGAAGTACTTCCCCCCGTTCGTACACTCCGGGCTGATATTGACCATTCCGTCCTGAACAGCATGACTGACAAGGGTTGGCATTTTGATGAATGAGTTGGTCTCGTTGCGAAGCTGGTGGGTTTAATTAGTAAAAAATTAAACATTGTTAATTTTGCATAATTTTGCATAATTTCTTACAGAGGGCACGCCAAACTTTACTGAAATTTTGAAAGAAAAAAATGTTAGTTAATTCACAAAAGGAAACAAAAATATTACACATTTTCTAACCTCTCAACCCATCCCAGAGTATAGCAGATATTTCTGTAAATTATAAATAGTTCGAAAAGGAATTATTTACAAATATATATTTTTTTTCTTCTAAAAAAACTTACGGTTTGGAAGAATCACAAAAAGTGTTAAATGGAAAATAAATGATTTTAACATGTAGACTTGTAGTAGGATGTATGTAAAAAAAATAGCAAAATTTAAGATTCTCGTCCTTTGGTAAGGTCAAGTTGCTACTGCAAGGGATACAGTGAATGATTCAGCTTTATAAGTATTTATTTAGAGATGAATCCTAAAGGATGGTTACATATTGTTTAAATGCTGGGGCTGGAAATTTCTTTATCGCCATATGTATGTATTTAGGTGCATATTTGCTTTAATGTTGTGGCATCTTCATGCAATACATATTTACATACGGATCAGAATGGATTACTGAACTCTGCGCCCTTGACTATGAACCAGCTTTGAGTACAATGGTGGTACTACTCCAATATGTCTCAAAACTATTTAATGTATCAACTGGCCATTTAAAAATTGAAGTTAAAAAACAATTGTATTAAGATGGTAAACATTTTATGCCTTTTTTTCTGATCGCCTTGTCATGTTTTTCTTGTTTGTACGGGATCAAAGGCTGTCAGATGTTAAAGATGTAGGTCAACGAAATATGTATATTGTTGATCTCATCAATATATGAACATTGTATTTACTATTTACTACTACCATAAGTATCTTGCAGATGCCTTAGGTCAATGCAGGAAGTCAGGCAGGAAGGTCATGATATTTTTTTATTCAGAAGCTAACAATTATTTGCCAGAAAGCATGTGTGCAAATACATACATAAAATTTTTTCTAAGACTTTGTGTTCCTGACCATTCAAAAAGTTATGAGAAGATTATTTTGTTACCATGAATTTAATTCCAACTACAATAATCTGGACGGAATTTCTTTAAAAACTCAGATGTTAAGAAAATAATTATTGTTGCCATGCATGTGAATGCGATTTGATCCCAACTTCGGTACAGGCTCTAATATTTAATTTCCATAGAAAACAATGACTCACATACATATACTCATAACAATCTTAGAATAATATATTATATATATAATAATATATATTCGTATGAATGTGCATGTCTCCTTGTTCAAATAAAATAAATATGCTTCAATACCGAATCATACTAGAGAGTATGTTTAGCATGTAGAATAACATTAATTTCATCGATTTTTTAAAAATATTTCCTTAGAATGCCTATTAAAATTTAAAATATTATTTTGCACGTGCAAAAAAATATTTTAAATAGAATGCGAGTAGGATATACATAATATGCATGTATATCCTACCCGCATTCTTATTTTAGCTACTTCTTAAATATGGTTCATATCTCCTTTTATCCATTCAACCTTAAAAATTTTTCACGAATTACGAATATTAATTTCCCCTCGTCTTAATTTACAATTTTGACCCCCATTCCCACCTCGATGCAACCATCCGCCTCTGCCCCCCTCGTCCCCCACTAACGTCCCCCTTTTTACATATGTGGCACAATTCTTCTCCCAACGCGACCTACTCCTTAACCTTTGCCGTCCTCGCCTTCTCACAAATCTCCTCCATGACCCGGTATCTCACCACATTTGGAAAAATGGCGACCACCCTGTCACAAAATTCGGATGACATCTTGACCTCGACAGGTACCACAGTCCCCTCGACCTCAGAGGTCGACTCCATAGGCCCAATCTTCCTATACGCATCCCCCGGGGGGAAAGGAACGTTCAACTCGGTCACCGTTACCCCAACTGAATTTCCCTCACGGAGAAAGGTATCGTACAAAAATGCCGCGCTCGTCTCAAAATACTCCTGTTCGGTTAGAATGTTCTCCTTGATGCGGGTAAATACTGTGTCATCCCGGGAAATCACAATGTTCTCCAGGACGAGGAACTGATCCGGATAAACCAGCTTGTTCACACCTGTTCAAAAACATGCTTTAGGTCAAAACTCATTCAATTTAAAAATGAAAAATCATTCATTTCTCATTTATTTAAAATTTGACTTATTCAACTCATCAATTTGACTTATTAGTTTCTCAATACTCTCCATATTTTAAGCATTTAGTGAAAAGTTTAAAATGAATAATATTATACATTTCAAGAGTAACAAATCCTTGTTTAGTATTAATTCATTCAAAAATTTTCCCTCATTATTCATGAATTTTTGGAGTAATGCATGAATAATTTATTCATTCTTTTATTAAATGAATGAATATGAACAGGTGTATATGAACGTACCAGTTTCCCCTCCAAGGTTCACCTTCAGCCCCACCACAAAAACGGGAACTGTATTACGCGGGCTTCGGCAAGCCATGTCACTCTGCACGATGGTGAAAACCTTCAACTTGGGCATGGCGGGAAACACGATGGGGAGCTCATTGACACACCAGAGAGGTGACGCGTTATATAGCCTGAAGAATTTTATACGCTCCAAAGTGCCCGCGACGGTTTTGAGAATGCCGGAAAAATAGCCAATGTTAGAATTGGCGTTGCTCAAATCCAGCCGGGTGATGGGCGAGGGCTGGATGGGCCCGGGAACGTTTAAATTTATATTTCCCCCGCGTAAAAATTTATCTAGCACGGTGGGAGCAACTCCTTCGGACGATAAGGCGCCCACATTTGGCAAAAGGGGTATAATTTCCACCAATTTTTCCCAATTTTTCCACGTGGCGGAAGCAATTCCGAGTTTACGAACCTTCCAAAAGACACATGCTTTTTCAGGGGGAGGGGAAAAATTAGTGTAGGTTGTTTCCCCCCATGTGACTACGACTATTTTGAAAGTGGTCAGGTTGGGGAGGTGGGTTGCCAGGTAGTGCAAAAATTGGAGCCATTTCGGATCAACCATAGGACACACGTGTATTTTCAGGTTGGTCACGTGGTGGCCATGGTTCGAAAGAAAATGGGTTAATTCGGGTTCGCAGGAATTTGTGAAGGTGGTAACGTACAAATTTCTGGGGCGATTTCCTCGGGCGGTGATCATGTTGTGGGAGTTGGTTATATTTTGGGGGGTGAGGGTAACCCGCTTTTGAGCGAGGAGACGTTTTCGAGCTTCAATTTCCCATCCCGCGTTGATAAAGGTGCAAGAGATGAGGTCAGATGGGGGGAGAAAGGACAGTATTTTGGCCAAAATCTGTGGAAATATAAACACTCTTAAAAATCCGGTATTAAAATTATACCAAGCGGTATTCATGTACGTATAAGTCTACTAAAGTGGTATTGAAATGTGCAATAATAGCACGATATTAAAGTTTTACCATATCGGTAGTAAATTTTTATGGTTTACTATAATTTCATAACTTCCTGCCTGAAAATTATCCATTTTTTTCCAGAATTTTTGAGCTAACATGTGACAAATTTAATTCAACCAGTTTCCACGTCCAATACATACAGATATTTACTAAAATTTGAGCAGATCTTACTCAGATTTATTTAATTGTGCAATCACGTGTCAAGATGATTGAGAGGAAAAATTAAAAAAAAATTACTATACGTATATTTACATACATACATAACATAATTTCTATGTAATCATACATACATGTAAATAGAAATCTTTTTAGAAGCATTGTTTTTACTTACTATGTATTTAGTAAAAATTGACAAAGTACCTCAGGCAAAGTAACAGCAAAATGCGATTTCGTCCAAACGTCACTGCTAAATTCCATGTCGATGAATTTTTAAGGTCCTTATATCCAGTGTTAAATAATTACTAGACGATTAATGATATATTTTGTCAGCTTTTATGTATATGACAATATCTTTTTTTCTATACAAAATGTCTCGGAAATCAATTACTGTCGAAATTATTTAAATCAAGAATGTGCATATGTAAATTCAGTCAAAAATTTGTAAATTATGTTATTGCCTTGTGATGTGCATTACAAATGAGAAACTGCTACACGTTTAAAGCATTTTAGGGAGTAAGATTAAAGTGCTGTTAAACATTTAACCCTTTTTGGATAAATTTAGACACATCTAAAATGCAGACGTGTCTCATCGTCAGTGCACTATGTCCGCTGGAGGTAAATAATGCGAACAAATTATTTTAAGGTCTGTAATTGTCCAATGGGGGTAGGAGAACATAAAAATGTGGTTCATTTTGATTTTCGAAAAGGGGTGTGGTCAGGAGGGGGGTTTTTATGTGATTTCAAAATAGTCTTAGATCGCCCCTAAAACCGCACCCACATTGTTCAGAATTTAATACTGATTAAAATGAGGTATCATACATACCCCTAGCTCTTATCATTGTCTCGCAAAAAAATAAAACGTAACGGAAGATCGGTGTTTTTGTCAAAAATCGTCAATAACGCCATCTTTGAAGGGCTCTCAAATCCTTCAAACTGAAAATGCGCAGGAAATTATTTCTGCATTTTGAAGTACTAACATAGGACTAACTTAGGTCACGAGCTCGGTCAAATCCCAGGTCATACTTTTGAGATAATCGAGGTCAAAGTTGACGAAAAAAACGTCCTGAAAAATGTGGATATAAAGGGACTTTTGAAGGGCTCCTAAAGCCTTAAGGATAAACATTATCAAAAACTGACATATGCATCCTAGGCTACGGTCATACTACTCTGTAATAGCGTGACCTTTGCCCCAATATAAGCAAGTGTTGTTATAAATGGAGATCAAAAATGGCTCACCTGAGCGTTGCAAAAATTCCTGAAGATGGCCAACTTTGAAGGGCTCTCAAATCCTTCAAACTGAAAATCCGCAAGAAATTATTTCTGCATTTTGAGGTACTAACATAGGACTAACTTAGGCCACGGGCTCGGTCAAATCCCAGGTCATACTTTTGTGCAAATTGAGGTCAAAGTTAACGAAAATACCGTCGACGTGACCACGTCCGGATTTTTTCCAAGTTTTTCGGCTCTAGAGGAAATTTTTTTAATTGTGGATTTGCACGAATCATGACCTCTAGGTCATTTTGGGGAAAAGTGCGATTTTTGGGGCGAAGTGAGAAAATATGTTTTCCGTGACCTAGAGGTCATGATTCGTGCAAATCCACAATAAAAAATTGTTCCCCCCAAAACCACAAAAAACAAAATCCGTACTTGGTCGCGTCGACGCTATTTTCGTCAACTTTGACCTCAATTTGCACAAAAGTATTACCTGGGATTTGACCGAGCCCGTGACCTAAGTTAGTCCTATGTTAGTACTTCAAAATGCAGAAATAATTTCCTGCGCATTTTCGGTTTGAAGGATTTGAGAGCCCTTCAAAGATGGCGTTGTTGACGATTTTTGACAAAAACACCGATCTTCCGTTACGTTTTATTTTTTTGCGAGACAATGATAAGAGCTAGGGGTATGTATGATACCTCATTTTAATCAGTATTAAATTCTGAACAATGTGGGTGCGGTTTTAGGGGCGATCTGAGACTTTTTTGAAATCACATAAAAAACCCCTCCTGACCACACCCCTTTTCGAAAATCAAAATGAACCACATTTTTATGTTCTCCTACCCCCATTGGACAATTACAGACCTTAAAATAATTTGTTAGCATTATTTACCTCCAGCGGACATACTGCAGTGTCTGCATTCTTTATTGACAAATAGGAAAGGAAGGGTTATTATCCCCGGCACTTGGGACGATCCATAAATTATGTCACGCAAGAGGGGGGGTCCAACGCTGCCATGGTATCGTGCCCATGTGCCACATGTTAAAGGGAGAAGGGGAAGGGTGGTCAATAAATTCAGGATTTTTTCCTAACATAATTTATGGATCTCCCCTAATGTATGTTCACTATAAAGGGTGTTGATTTTTTTCGGTAACCTTTATTTCTGTAAAAAGAAAATGCGTCTTGTTCAAAAGCAATGGTGTGATAAAAGCCAATCTTTTTTCAGAGATAGATACATACCTATGTAGGTATTTAGTCTTTCACCACGCACTTCAATAATGCCCTCAACTCTTTAGCTTAGAATCTGTGCTCATTTTTTTCCAGGTTGATTTTGGAATGAAATTCCACAGGTCTTTACCTTTTGCCAGTGGCCGCGGAAGATAATTTTAACCACGGGGACATACTTGTAGAAAAAAAGTCGTGCACTTTTCTCTTTAGTTTGGAGTTCAAACTAAAGAGAAAAGTGCACCAGACCCTGTGTGCACTTCAGCCTGTGGTCCTTCAGAGCACTTTAGCCTCTGCGCGTGGCATTGTCCTGCATGAAAATAATTTGCATCTCAATTTGCAATAATTTCTTATCTCATCTATGTAAATTAATTATTCCTAACTACAGAGCTGGGAAAATCTAGATTAAAATAATCAAGATTAAGATTAAGAATAATTAATCTTAATCCATAATCTTAATCAAGAAATTTGTTCGTATTAATCAATAATTTTAATCTTAATCTCACGTCAATTTAATTTAATTTTCAATCTTTGAATCTTCGACTTTAATTTTAATCAGGATTAATATTATGATTAAAATTACGCCATCTGTTACTCGAGTCCTTGTAAATCTCTAAATTTCAACGCGCGATCATCTCTCAACACTGGAACCATTTTAAAAAATCAAAACAATTCTAAATTGACAGGTTCTCTTTTGAAAGGAACGTTATTTAAAATTGTATTCCTTAAACAGATCAAAAAATTTGTTGCCATTAAAAAAATTAATTTAATTAAAAAAATTAAGAGTTATTATTTTTTGAAATTTAAAAACGCGTTACTGATTTTTACTCGTATTACAAGTTATTATATTCACCTTAATTTACCAGATAAAACTTTAATAATTTTGAACAACAATTATAAAGCGCTGATACTTCATGCTTTTCTCAAATTTTAGAATTTATGATATAACTAGCCTATAAGCCCATCTTAAAGACGGTCCACGGTTAAACTTTTAAGTTAACAAACTAATCATTAGATGAAAGCATTACATAATGGGAGAGATATATTAGCCTGTATCGAAATTATAATTCGAGAGTAAATATACATCTAAATATATTAAAACTACGAAAAGTCTCGTTCAACCTTCCACGACAATCCTGCACTGTGATTGGTTGCCAGCTTTCTACGGAGTTTTTTTATCGTTGCTAAGGATTTTTTAACTTTGCTAAGGAATATTTTTAACACTGCGAAGGACATTTTTTAACGTTGCAAAGGATTCTTTTAACGTTGCTAAGCAATTTTTTTAATGTTGGATATGAATTTTTAGCCCGAGTCAGGGCTTATGGAACCGTCATGTCCGTCCGTCTGTCTGTCTGTCCGTCTGTCTGTCTGTCCGTCTGTCTGTCCGGCACGATAGAGCCAAAACGGCTGAACCGATTGACTTGAAATTTTTACCATATGCATATTGGGCAAAGTTAGGAAACGAGTTCGAAGATGGGCGAAATCGGTCCAGTGGTTGACCGGTGGGGGTTATCGGAGTGGGTGGAGTATTATGCACCAAAATTTCAAAATTGTTGTAGAGAGCTGAAATTTGGTACAGAGGTTGCTAATGGCTCCTACTAGATAAAAATGAGTTCAAATTAGAAAAACTTTCGTCTTGAGGGATCCTATGGGGTGACCCATGCTGATTTTTCAAAATCATTATATCGAGCTGAAATTTGATATGGAGGCTGAAAACCACTTCTGGATAGCACATACATATGTATAGCTTAGAGCTTCAGGATGTTAAAGAAGCCCACTGGTCATGGTGGTCAAGGCACATGATATTGTAACTAGTTCAAAAATTTGGAACCAAATAATAGAAACTAGACTTTTAACCATCCACAACACGGAAGTTGGTGATATTTTGTTGGTCAATTCGGAAAAAAATTTAGAAGCGGGCTCTGAGTATGACTTATTGAGTCAGGGTCTATGTCCCTGACTCGGGCTATATGGAGTCTGCACTGTAGGTTTTTAACGTTGTACCAGATGTTGTATCAGATGTTGTACCAATTGTTGTACCAATTGTTGTACCAATTGTTGTACTAATTGTTGTACTAATTGTTGTACCAATTGTTGTATCAATTGTTGTACCAATTGTTGTATCAATTGTTGTATCAATTGTTGTACCAGTTGTTGTACCAATTGTTGTATCAATTGTTGTATCAATTGTTGTACCAGTTGTTGTACCAATTGTTGTATCAATTGTTGTATCAATTGTTGTACCAATTGTTGTACGAATTGTTGTACGAATTGTTGTACGAATTGTTGTACGAATTGTTGTACGAATTGTTGTTCTGTTTAAAATAGGAATTGACACACGAGCCTTCGATGAGGCGTTCCTTCATGGGGTATCGCATGCGGGAGGGAATATTTTGATCTTTTACGCTTATAATATTATATACAAAGCTTTCATTCATAAATTGAATAAATATTCTGGTGAATTTGACCAGATTTCCTCATACCGTCACATTTTATATGGGCGGATTCTCACTGATTTTTATGCATGCTCATTAAATGCAAACCTTCTGCCGAAATTTCATACTAATTGGAATAGATTCGATATTTACCAAATTTCAAATAATAAAATAAATATTAAATTAGGTTTTTGATGCGCCACTAACTTTCTTATTCTGCATGAACTAATTTTTGACTGAAATATAGCAGTAAGGTTAAATTAGTTAAAGTAATCATTTTATGCAATGTGATACGATGTGATAATACGCGTTTCACGTATTTTTTTTACTAGGATTACTGACATTAGCATCATAAATTAATTTAATTAGTCAAATTTTGTAATTTTATAAAATAATTTTTAGACTTACTTAAGATTATGTAGCAAAAATATTTACAAATTTAAGAGACAAGAAGATTATAGGAGACAGGCCCTGGCTTAGTTTCTACCTTGACGGCCAATAAAAGTAAAGCCCTGTCAAGAAGACGTCGTCTCATTTTACTAAAATCTGATATGTAATTGATTATTATAAATCATGATAATGATAAATTAGAATAAATTCAAGTGTTTTGTTGAAAAAAAAAAAAAAATTGTTGTACGAATTGTTGTACCAATTGTTGTATCAATTGTTGTACCAATTGTTGTACCAATTGATGTATCAGTTGTTGTACCAATTGTTGTACCAATTGTTGTACGAATTGTTGTACCAATTGTTGTACCAATTGATGTATCAGTTGTTGTACCAATTGTTGTATCAATTGTTGTATCAATTGTTGTACCAGTTGTTGTACCAATTGTTGTATCAATTGTTGTATCAATTGTTGTACCAGTTGTTGTACCAATTGTTGTATCAATTGTTGTACCAATTGTTGTACGAATTGTTGTACCAATTGTTGTACCAATTGTTGTACGAATTGTTGTACGAATTGTTGTACCAATTGTTGTACGAATTGTTGTACCAATTGTTGTACGAATTGTTGTACCAATTGTTGTACCAATTGTTGTACGAATTGTTGTACCAATTGTTGTACCAATTGTTGTACGAATTGTTGTACCAATTGATGTATCAGTTGTTGTACGAATTGTTGTACCAATTGTTGTACCAATTGTTGTACCAGTTGTTGTACCAATTGTTGTACCAATTGTTGTACCAATTGTTGTACCAATTGTTGTACCAGATGTTGTAACAGATGTGGTTCCAGATGTTGTATCTCAAATTTTAACCATAATTATAGCCGTGCTGTGATTGGTGGAGCCAGCAAGCCGGCAGCCAATCAAAATGCAGGAATGTCACGGAAAATTTCACGGGACGGACTTTTCGAAATTATAATATAGATATCGATGTAAACTATAAGAAACGACGAAAAAATAAAATTATTCTTAATTAATATAATTAATCTAGATTAATTAATCTTCAATCTTTAATCTGCGTCATAAAATAGATTAATTTAATCTTAACTAATTTAATTTAGTAGCTGAAGAATCATTTTAATCTTAATCTTAATCTCTGATTCAGGGATTTTTAATCTCAAATCTTAATTTTTAATCTGGAAACTCATTAATTTCCCAGCTCTGCCTAACTATAAAGAATCGTCTCATCCTTGTCTCACATTTCCCTTACAACGTGAGGCGAGTTCAATTTGTCCACAACGACGAATATTTTTATACTCGCCACACAGCGACGGGACACGAACTTTTAATTTCTGAGTAGCCAAACCAAGAAATTTAAAATAATTTCAATATAATAACCTTCACCCAAACTAAGCAAGACTATTTTTGAAGCCTAAATTACTAAAAGGTGTCGTCATTTACATTTTATCAAACTTGGTCAATTAAAGCGACGTGCTGTATTTTTAAACAATTAAATAAAGCTTCGAATTAATTTCTTCCTTGCAGGTCGACACGATGCAGACGGACAATGACTTACCCACCCAAATGGAAATGAATCGTTTGGTAAGAACAAATTTGGCCGATTTTTAAACTTCAAATGGAATTTTCAGCTTGAAAAATATCAATGTTGCAGGCCGTGAGTGACTTATCCTCCCAACAAATGGATGTTTCCACCACTACGCTGATAAGTCATTGGGTAATAACAATTTAAAAAGTACCTCAAACTTAAAAGGAAACTTTCAGAGTGAAAAATTGTAAATTTTACAGGATGACAGTGAGAGTGACTTATCGACCCAACAAACGGATGTCGCCACCAGTGCGTTAATGAATCCTTTGGTAAATTAAATATTTACAATGTGAAATATTTATTATAATTCAATTAATTTTGTACTTTTCGATTCGTAAATAATTAATTAATTACTATCGTCTATCGCAGTTACTGAACCTGATCTTCTCCTACATGGATGCCCCCACCCTGAAGAAATCTGTCCGACCCGTCTGCACCCTGTGGGCCGACCTTGGTGCACCCTTCCTCGGGGGTAAGACCACACAGACGTACTCGGAACAATTGGGTTGCGGCATGTACACCCCTGAAATTACTGGAGTTGCCTCATTTCACTCAAAATTGGTCAGGAACGTCAAACTTGTCGCGTCCACGTGTCCCTGCGAATGGTCGGAAAGATTGCCGGAAAATTTTGTCGCGGTCCTGCCAAATATTGCGCGTCATTTGGAGGAAATTGAGGTGGATTTACATATTTATACGTTTAACTTGCACCAATATTATAAATTTAACTATGGTGCAAGGGATTTTAAGAATACTGTTGCCCTTTTGAAAAATAAATGTACCCCCAAATTGAATTGAGAGCCTCAATTCTAAATTAACTACACTATACTAAAGTTAACTTGATATAGAGCCGTGGATTTAGTGTAGTTTACTTAATTTAGAATTCAGGGTGCACTTTCTTCTCAAAAGAGTAACATCATTTTTGAGAAGAGTGCTGTAAGATATCAAGTATTTAGATATTTATTAATTTATTAATTAGGCTCTCTTTCATTTCAGGTCAAAATTGGCTCCTCATTTTTACACGGGCTGCACAAAATGTGGGAATCACACCGTTTCACCAACCTCGCCAGGATTTCGATCACCGTTTTGTCCTCGTATGACGAAAATGGTAGATGGATTCTTGCCGGGTCGTCGTATCCGACGATGGGAAACGTTACGATGATTTCAGTCATCATGGGGGACCAATACAACCCCAATACGGACGGTATGGCAGCCTCCATTTGTCAAAAGCTGCTCAATGCTGCCCCCAACTTGGTCGAGGTGGAGGTGAAGGCCAATTTTTACCTGGATTTCGCCCCCTGCAAGAAACTGACCAGGCTGACGTACAAGTTCGTTCAATTCGTGGACTTTGCCACGCACGAGCCCACCGAGGTCATGGACTTGGGCAAAATTGCTGAGATGTTGACCCCGTGTCGGGATTCCCTGGCCGAGTTGAGTCTGTACTATGTGGGTCCGGATGGTGGGCACGACGACGATGTGCCACAGGTAGGGCGAAAATATGAAGGGTGCTGATTTAATTCGTCCCGATTTTTCCTGCCAGTACCTCAAAAACGGTGGAAACTAGGGGGTCGATTTTTTTATCGGAGATACTTATGTAACTTATGATACTTATGATACTTGTTAGATATTTATGTATGTACATTGCTACACAATTGGTCTTTCGGCAGTTTGTACTAAGCACTCGCTTAGTTCTTTGCTTTGACTTTGTCCTCATTTTAGTAAACTTGTGTCAGGTTCGCCAAAAAAATCGGGATGAATTAAATAACACATTTTGAATTGAACTAATTTTTGAAATACGAAAAGAGGAATTTATATGGGTGAAAAACAATAAGAAAAAATGTTTCCTTTTTAATTTTTAACGGGTTTTGGGAAATATGATAATATTCAAATCGGCTGAAGATTCATTTTATCTAACTCTTCTTCGAGACGATTCACGCCGATTACTTTTTGCGTAATGAAATGGACCTTTTTCAATCGAGTTTTTCTTGGCTTAAAAAACGGTTTCTTTAATTTTAACGAGGTTTTGGGAAATTGCGGTATCCGAACCAAACCGAAAAGTATAATTTCGATGAGACCTTTTTACTTCTGCCAATCTTTGCAAAATTAAGGGTTCCTTGAATTTATCATCTTTATTGCAGACTTTGTCGCTCCCATCCTTCCCAAATTTGACGCGTCTCACAATCTCTTGCATGGATGGTTACTTCCGCCACTTGGGTGATTGTCTGTACACGACGCACCTCCCAGCTCTGACCCATGTCAAGCTCGCCGCTTCCGACAAAGAAAGTCTCACCCTAACCCTACCCGAAATGTTTGAACATTTCCGCCAACCTCACGTCGGAATAGTGTCGCTTGACGTGGATGCCGCGTATGACGGGGAGGCAGAGAATGTTGCCGCTGCCGCCGTGATGGTCCGCCTTTTCCCCGCCGTGACAAAGTTGCAGTTAAAGCTGACCATTTCCGAGGACCTGAATTCCGTCGCCCTCCGACGCCTGAAGGAAACCCTGCGAAACTTGGCGCCCTGGGAGCTAACCTCGGCCTTGGTGGAGGTGCAAAACGTGAAAAGTTCGGGCGTCGTATTAGCCACGATGCAAGGTTTGGCGAGATGGAAGGGTATGCATCGTCAGCATTGGGGTTGTTCACGCGTAACTTTGTAAAATCCGTAAATTCTGTAAACTTTTACTAACAAAATTTCACAAGTTTCCAAGGAAAGTTAGCTCACAATTTTGTTTGCTAATGTCAACTTGCTAATGTCCATACGTCGGATATGAATGAAAAATGACTTTTTTAAAACAAAAGTTTTAAGATTTTGCGAGTTAGCAAAGATTGCGTGAATAACGTACCGGATTGATTGCTAATTTCGATTTTGATTTGTGTAGGCTTAGCACACACGGAAGTTCGACTTTGCGGAAAAGTGGGAGCAGTTTTGGTCCCGGGGGATGCCGTGAAAGCGATTCTTTTAACCTGCAGGGAGGTGAAGTTGGTTAAAATGTCGGGATTTTTGGTAAGCTTGATGAATAATTTGGTAGTTTTAAGTTTGTGCTTTTACTGATTTGTGGTTCAAATCTAGATCAAGGGGAGGGATAAATTTCAAGGATTTATTGACGCCAACCGTCTCCCTATTACTTTGTCAGAGTAAATTCATCGCAAGAAAGGACTCGTTTTTATGTTTTAAGTAGCAATGTATGTACAGTTGGATGGGATGGGAGTATGTAAGTTTGGGATTTTGTAAAGGATGAAACCTCGTGGTGTTTTGGTACCATCTGTTTCGAACCTTGTTCATAATTGGTTTCAATTTAATTTGCATTATAAAATGTAAGTGAACAATGGTAAATAAATTGTTAAGCTTGTACAATAGATAGATAAATTGTGTGTACATACGTATATATAATGGTCCCGTCCTTGCATTGATAAATAACCAACAAACAGACACTAGCAATTTTATAAAGGGGATTTCACAAGTGTATGTATGTATGTTCATACAAGTACATATGTCTGCATTATAATTAAACCATGTGCATGTGTTGGAACGAATCAACCAGTTATGGTAAGGATGTCCTCAGTAGGCAATCGTTTTTTGTAATGTTTCACTTTTGTAACTAGTGTTACGAAGTTTAAATATTGCTCAAATCAACCGCTCTATAATATTACACCACGTATTTAAAAACAAACAATTGAAAGAAACAAAGTTGGCGACACAGGGTGTTGATTACCCGTTGAATTACGCTTATGGAAGCTCAAGTTGAATCCAAAGTATTCCAAACTATTCATTATAATCGGAAATGTTTACCTGCCACTAGTTTTATCGAGATGTTATAAAAGTTCTTAAGGTACTCAAAACAAGTATGCAAACAACTTAAAGACAACCAAGTTTTGTTATGAAAGCCAAATAAAAAACGACCCAGTTTTATTGTAACAGTCAAATAAAAACGTAGCCGACCACTAAAAATCCCAATACTTCTCACAAACCACTACGCCTGATGAAGCTGAAATAACAGTGCCACCAAATAATCCAAATTTTACATCCTAGTTGGAAATGTCTTTCTTCTAAAACAAACAAGCTACAGAGGCTTTGCCTTAACATCTTCCTTAGAGAATAAAATGGGATTGAAAGGTTACGCGAAAATGCAGCTTCTACGCGCATGGGCTATCCTTGCGGTATTTCTGCATCCGACACTTACCATTGACCCCCACAGGCTTGCTACCATCTTAGAAAATAACCACATTCAACTTATCGATTACTTCAATGTATTTAAAAACTGTACGTTGATTGCCATTTACCCAGTTAATGCTAGTCAACCTATCCAAGCAGAAGTACCCTTTATCCTATATACATTCAACTCCAAGAATGGGGTACTAATTGAAACAAAATTTTCTTTGGTGACAAGACGCAATCCTTCAAACCACTGTTGGGCATCTTTCGCTATCTTTCCAGAAACAGAACCTACATTGAACTTGAAAGCTGAACGCTCAGACTTTGAATTGAACTTTATACATCCATCCTGGCAAAATCAGTTTTGTATTTGGGCCACTGCAATTCCAAGGAGAGATATCGCGGAGTATTTCGGCACGGTAGGTTATTTGGCAATCAGTCGGTTGGGTCTCAGAGAAGTTTTAATTATAAGCGCTAAGGCGGATAAAAATGTGGCAACAAAGGCCCCCGTAAACGACTCATTTTTACGGATGCACTACCTAAATGTGTATCACATAGAAGGGCCCAGCATAGAAAGGGACCATTCTCAGCAGTGGTACTTTATAGAATGTCTGCCAAGCGAGTGTCCCATGCAACTGGAATCCGTGGGGAGAGATGTTTCTCGGCGAAACAAATACTTTTGGGGTGCTGATATAATTATAAATAATACATTGCATAGGATTGATCACTCATTCAGTACGCGAGACCAAGGAGTGATCCCACCCTGGAGAAAGTGGTATAGCCTACTCCCAAGTTTACATACCCTTCAGGGGTTCGTGAGTTACTGGGTGTTAGAAGATGTGATTCAACATAATTTTACAAAAAAATATGAACGGCTTTATGCCATTCCTGTAATTAAGAAACTGAGTCGTTTTAACCTTAACCGGCATAGTTTAATTTTTATTCCCCATGACCTTCGTCAGTTCAGTTATGTATCTTGCTATCAAGTGAAGCCAAAAAATACTGGAATTTTCTCCTCATTAAGTTCCCCATTCGACCATTTAACCTGGCTTTTATTGCTAGTAATGTCACTGACGCTTAGTATAGTTTTGTCCAGCTTGTTGGACGAAACGGTTTCAAACGGTGCACTCCTTGCTATTGGAGTATGTCTTGAAAACTCATTGCCAGGGCGATTAGATGGACACAAGTCTATGCAATACTTGTTTGGAATACGCTCCCTTATCACAGTTTCGACAATTTTTGTGGGAACCGTGTTGACGAATTGGTATAAAACGTCGTTCACGATGGAAATGATTGTTCCGATCACGTATGCTTCTTCATGGAAGAACATACTCGAAGTTGATAAGATACAGATTTTGATGCCATTTGATCTCCTGTATGAGCATCAACCTACCGTTACCGATGATATCCAAAGTAGATATTGGCATTTCTTTGAAACCCTGAATATGCGAGTATTCAATTCAGGACAACTCTCATCAAGTAAGTTTGGAAAACGCCTGCTAAATGTGACCGACATATATCTTATTGAATCTAGGGGTGCAAATTATGGTAATTTAAGCTTTTTGCACGAATCTCCGGTACTTCCAATCACCTATAAGGAAAAGATAAACTTACAAACGTTACAAACCTGCGGTAAAGTGGCCTTGATGGACACGAAAGACAATATTGACGCACTTCTCACTTTTCTAAACGACAATCCGAACCGGATTAAATTTTTCCAGCGTGAGGATAACTCCTTTGCCACTACTACCCGTGGCTGGCAGATGATGCAGCCTGTTCGTAACAGTTATGCTTTGTACCGTCTCAAAGTGATGATATCTTCGGGAATTTTTGCTCGATGGGATCGCTTATTTAAATTATGGAAACCCGACAAATTGTTTCATCATTACGAAAATTGGAAGCATCCTAGATTTGATGCCGTATCACAATTGGATTTCAATTCGAAGATTACGACCGCATTTTATATTTGTGGAATTTGTTTACTATTTTGTATAGTTTTCCTATTTCTTGAACTCATAGTATTTAGATTACTTAGGATAATCGACTCTATTAATACACTGTTAACAATGTTGTAGAGTTTCATATATACTGGTATTGATTGGGTAATAAATTCCTAACGGATTGGAAGTTGTTAGCTTCTGAATGGTAATTGTTTCATTTCTACAAAATAACTGAACCGGAATGTTCGCTATTAACATGTGGACGAAGTTTTCCAAGTTTATATATCCGCTGGGTAAATATGTACTCATACAAAAAATCAGTTTTTGTAAGATAGTTGGAAAGATCCGGACAATTTAATCCTAATCCGTAATCCAAGCTGTTCTTCAAGAAAATCCTTAAAAATCTAATCCCAAAAATTCTAGCCCTAATCCAACAATGGGTAGAAACTAATCCTTAATCCATAATCCGGAACAAAAAAAACATTTAATCACCAACAAACTCTGATGCATACTCTCCATTCGCGGACAGTTGAACTTTTACGGAAATTGAGAATTCTCAGAAACTACGCCACTGCCAGTCTACAAGTCTCCGGTTCGTATAACTTGAGGCAATTTGAGACTGGCAGTGGCGTAGTTTCTGAGAATTCTCAATTTCTGTAAAAGTTCAACTGTCCGCGAATGTTTAGTATGCACATTAATTTTGAGGAGGAAGGCAAGGAATGGATTTTTTATCAGGCGTATTGCAAAGTAAAAATCTCTGTGGGACGGAAAATTTCCCACTTTTTAATGATTCTCAGAACATGCTGAAAGAGGCCAAAGTTTGTATTTCTCTGTCTCACAGTGATTTTTACTGTGCACTATACTTGAAGTGAGTTAGTTATGTGCTGTGCGAATGGAGCTAAACTCACGAGAAACCCTAGTCTCAGCACAAGGTACTTCAGGAGGCCGTAGGTTTAAGCTCCACCCGCACACTCGTTCACTTTATGCATAGTTACACTCGCTCGAATAAATGAGGAGGATTAAGGAGTAGAAGGTCACTACTTGTCGGGCCCCGATTTCGATCTCCTTTGGATATGTTGTAGTACTACATGAGTGTAGAAAAAGTGAAGGAGGGTTAGACTCCATGAGCCCATTTACGCCCGCCACACCCCCTCAAGGCGACCAAACCCCCAGAGTTGCCGCACTAAAATCATCGCCAAACATCGAGTTTTGGTCAGATTTTCAAAAAATTTGCATTTTTGTGATCCCAGATAGTTGCTCTATCATATCCAATAGCAAACTCAACTTTTTAAAATTTTCAATATTTTCGAAGATTTTCTGACCAAGGGTATGTATTGAAAAAATTCGAAATTTCAAAAAAGTTGAGTTTGCTATTGGATATGATAGAGCAACTATCTGGGATCACAAAAATGCAAATTTTTTGAAAATCTGACCAAAACTCGATTTTTGGCGATGATTTTAGTGCGGCAACTCTGGGGGTTTGGTCGCCTTGAGGGGGTGTGGCGGGCGTAAATGGGCTCATGGAGTCTAACCCTCCTTCACTTTTTCTACACTCATGTAGTACTACAACATATCCAAAGGAGATCGAAATCGGGGCCCGACAAGTAGTGACCTTCTACTCCTAAGCCTCATCTCATCGACATAGATTCTTTACTATAAAGAATCGTCTCATCATTGTCTCACATTTCCCTTAAAACATGCGGCGAGTCCAATTTGTCCACGACGACGAATGTTTACTCGCCACATGTTCACAGCGACGGGACACGAACTTTTAATTTCTGAAGAGCCGAATTAAGAAATTTATATAATTTCAACACCAAGTAAAAATTGCTGAAAGCTGAGAAGAATTTATCAAACCAGGTGCTTTAAAAAGTTGCCACAATTTAATTACTACAGATATGTTAAACAAGCTCAACTTTTTTTAGTTGAACTTCAAAATTCAAAGACAATCGTCATAAGGATAATGAAAAACATTAATTTGTTCCCAAATTTTGCAGGGTGACACGATGCAGGCTGAGACTGAGAGTGCCTTATCGACCCAAGAAATGGACGAAATGGATGTCGCCCCCAGTCCTCTGATGAATCCATTGGTATTTAAATAAATCCAAGTTAAATATTAAATTAACTAAGTATTTAATTAATATCGCCATCTCCCGCAGTTACTGAACGTGATCTTCTCTTATTTGGACGCCCCCACCCTGAAGAAATCTGTCCGACCCGTCTGTACCCTGTGGGCCGACCTTGGCGCCCCCTTTCTCGGGGGTAAGACCACTGACGTTCTCGGAAGACGCACAATGCGGCATGTCAACCTCAGAAATTATCGGACTGGCCAAGTTTCACCCAAAATTGGCCAAGAAGGTCAAACTTGCGGCATCCACGTGCCCCTGTGATTGGTCCGAAGACTTACCGGAAAACTTTGTCAAAACCCTGCCCAAGTTTGCACGCCACGTGGAGGAATTTGAGGTGGGTTTGTTTATACTTCTAACTTACGCCAGTATTATTGTTTTTCAACTATGGCGCAAGTTGCATGTCAAGGAATAGTGAATAATTTATAATATCTTTTTCAGGTCAAGATTAACTCTTCATTTTTACCCGGTCTGCACAAAGTTTGGCAAGCACGTCGTTACCGTTTCCAGAACTTGACGAAAATTTCCATCATCATTTGCGCCTCGTATGACGAAAATGAATTCACTATTGTGACGGAGACGTATCCAAAGATGGAAAACGTTAAGGAGATCTCGTTTACGATGGCGGACCAGTACCTACCCGACCAGGACGATATGGCAGCCTCCATTTGTCAAAAACTGCTCAATGCTGCCCCCAACGTGGCCGAGGTGGAGGTGAAGGCGAGTTTCTACCTGGATTTTAGCCCCTCCAAGAAACTGGCCAAGTTTTCGTACACATTCGTGAAATTCTTGGATGTTGAGACAGATGAGCCCGTCAGTTTTATGGATATGGATCGAGTGACGGAAATGTTGGCGACTTGTTGTGGGGAATCTTTGGCTGAATTAAAGCTCTCCCATGTGGCAGAGCTTAATGGCGACGAGGAAGACGACGACGGCGACATACCAGAGGTAGGGCGAAAATACTGATATATAGGTTGGACTAATTAGGGCCCGTTCATATATTACGTCAACAAGAGAGGGGGGAGGGGGTCTGACCACTAATGATATCGTGCCTATCTTGCCCATGTTAAAGGGGGTAGGGGGGGTCTGAAAATCCGATTTTTGGATGACGTAATATATGAACGGGCCCTTACACTTTTAGAAAGCCAGGATTTTATTTAAACTTGACAAAAACAGGAGGGGAAAAGAAAAATGGTTTATTTCTTTTTAGTGGGTTTTGGAAAGCTTCGCTATGGGGAAATCATACCCACGCCAGACAACACTGTTAGAAGTGATGGCACCTTCTGAAAAGATAAGGCCCTCTTCCTCTTAATTCTAAATTAAATAAACATTTCCAAATCCAGAGTAACGTTGCCTTGATAAAGTTCGCTGAGCAAACTTTGCCTGGATTTTGTATATGTAGTTTACTTAAAAGAGCATTTATGTACTGTTCAAAATGGAATTTTTAGAGTCATGGATCATTCATTGCATAGTTTTGCCTTTTTGGACGACTTTTCGCTTCTCGTCGTCGTCGGGAAAATATAGGCTGGAATACATTTAGAAAAAAATAGGAATTTAAGAGAAAAACTGGATTTGAAAACGGCTTCTTTAATTTTAACGGGTTTTAGAAAATTACAGTTATCCAAATTAACTAAATCGATTCTAATCGAATCGAATCCTTCATAAATGGTATTAGGGTATAGAATTTTTCTCCAAACCCTTTTTCTTAGTGGGGAAAATATCTAATTACTTTTAGGAAGTAAATTTGAAGTCCGAATGGAAGGCGCTCGTGCGCACAACTTATCCACTTTTTAGGCCCCAATATTTTACGACTTTGATGTTAAAAATACCAAATGTTGTGTTTGTCCAAGGTACAAACAAATAGTATATTGCACTTTAAGAAAGAAAAAAAATCAAACAAGGCTTTGTTAAAACAGTAAATCTGATAATTATATGAAATAAAGGAGTTTTTGTATAAAACAATTTAGGAGTTACTTATGGATTTATATGAGACCGCAAAAATAATATTAGGGGACGTTTTGCATGTAGGCAACTTGTATATTACTTATGAGACATTTTACCATTTTTTAGGAGACGCGTTGATTGCATACGTTACTTTTATAAATCAGTCAATCTTTGCAAAATTAAGGATTCCTTATAATTTATCATCTTTATTGCAGATCTTATCGCTCCCATCGCTCCCAAGCTTGACCCGATTGTCCCTCTCTGCCATGGAAGCTTACCGCTTGGGTGACTGCCTGCACATGACGAACCTCCCAAATCTGACCCACGTCACTCTCGTCCCCTCCAACAAACAGTATATCACGTTATCCGACATGTTTGAACACTTCCGCCAACCTCACGTCGGAATTACATCACTCGATCTGTCCGCCATGTATGACGGGGATGAAGATAATGTTACCACTGCGGCCAAGATCGTCCGCCTTTTCCCCGCCGTGACGAAATTCCAGTTAAAGCTGACCAACCTGCAGAGTGAGGACGACGATGACGACGACGACATGGATTCCGGCTTGACGGACACCCTGCGAAACTTTGCGGCTTGGGAATTGACCTCGGCGTTGGTGGAGATGAAGAATGTCGAAAGTTCGGGAGATGTGTTGGCCACGACGAAGGGTTTGATGGGGTGGAAGAGTATGAAACGTCATAATTGAAGTGGTTTGAATTTTGAATATTCGGAGCCCTTGGAAACATTGGAAAATCCATGAATTCTGTAAACTTACAAACTTTAGTTAAGTTTTACAAATATTTCTGAGGAAACTTCACGCAAAGTTTTGTACTCAGCTCCAGGGCGTCTCTTTTCCCTTGAAAAAATATGTAAAGTAAAATTATTGTATAAAACGCACGGATTTTACAAGTTATAAATTCCTGGATGAATTGCCTTTCTAACTGATTTCTAATTTTGAATTTAACTTGTTTAGGCTTAGCACACACCGAGGTTCGACTTTGTGCTGCAGCTGGGACAATTTTTATTCCGGGGGATGCCGTAAAAGCGGTTCTTTTGACCTGCAAGGCGGTGAAATTGGTCAAAATGTCGGGATTTGTGGTAAGCTTGATAAATACATAATTTGGCGTGGTTCGATTTGAACCTCGTTTGCTGGGAAAGCGGGGGGTGAGACCCTCTTTTTGTAGGGTCCGTTTTTTTTTTACTTTTGTGCTTTTCTTTTTCAAATCTAGATCAAGGGGAAGAATAAATTTCAAGGATTTATTGAAGCTAACCATCTCCCGATTACTTTATCAGAGTAAATTCATCACAACGAAGGACTGGTTTTATGTATTAATTAACGATATAAGTTTTATGTATAGATTTTTGTTAAAAATGTGAAATCCTTTGGTATTTGGGGTCTAAAAAGTTTACCATCCGTGGAACCTTGTTTATAATATGTTATAATTATTTTGTATTATAATATGTAAGAGAACAATGGAAAATAAATTGTTTGTCTATTGAAATTTGAACCGATTGATTAAGTTTTTATTAAGCATTGTTGAAAGGTTCGACACCAGAAGCAGTACACTCCTTAACCTATTAAAGACCTGTCATATTAAAATTAACATTAAAATTAAGGTACGTGCATTAAAATCATACCCACTTTCTTTAATCTTTATTATTAAATCTTACTCTCAAATGAAATCTATAAGTTAAGTCAAAAATCTGAAATTTGGCGAAATATTACGTAGAATTTGGCGAAATATTACGTTCGCTGTAGCGTGAGCCAAAAGTAGTAATTAGTTGATTTGCCTAAATTATTAATTCTAGAAATTGTGCATTGAAAGCTATAAGCTGTTTTACCCTCCGAAATTTGCCAGGACATTGATAAATAATTTAACAACACGGACATGTTGATTATCACACGTATATAGTTGTGTCAAAATTTTTAGAAATCATACAGCATTGTCGCATAGACAAATGAGCCATATGCTATCGACATTGTCCATCCAAAATGAACAATAATTTGGAATAGTTGCTTTGAAATAAACTCTAGAATTTGCTACTTTATTTGTGAAATCAGAAAATTTTGTGTATAACCCTATTTCTCATTTTGTAAGAAGGAAGTATGTAGGTCATGCCTTATATTTTAAAATTACTAACAAGTAAGTCAAGAAATTATGCAATGATAACGATGAGCCAAAATTCAATCTTGGTATTATTTATGATCAAATATTTCTCCACCATTTTGGCCCCACCGAAGAGATCAAAATATCTATTCATGTTGCAATTATTAGCTTGATTTGCATAGAATAAGAGCTATTGAGTTTTCGCCTGTCCATCTGTGAGTTTACGAATTTTTTAGTGAATTTAAATTCATTCTAAGAAAAAACACTTTAATTATGGACAATAGCGGTCTAGCCATTGGTATCGAACAATCCGTAATGCAAACGGTGCGAATGACTTGGGAAAATCGATCAAAAGAGGACTGAAATTTTGGAATTACGTAGAAGCACCGATGAGATCGAACTATCGGTTATTAAAAATGCTGCGAAACCATTGGAAAAATCAATTCACTAAAGGTGCAGAATTTCAGGAATAAGTAAGTAATTACATAATTTTCAATTTTTCCTGAAAAACCGAAATCATATCAAAATTAGATATTTATTTTGTCGCCTTAATCCAACATATTGGTGCAACATTATATCAATACTAACAAGGGACCCACACGACCTGTCGTTTGAGCCCAGGGTACTGACTATGTTTTTTTTTAAATCTACTAGGACCCCAGATGAACGATCTATTCATATTTCCGTGTGAAACTCATATTTGGCGCCGTGGCGTACCGACAAATTCGACAAATTTGATGGGTTTTAATTTTAAAACCGCCATAACTTGGAAATCCTAGACGGATTTTCATAATTCTTGACTAAAATCATGACAAGTAAGTCAACTTTCGTATATAATAAAATTTTCAAAAAATTTAGTTTGTCGGAAAAATCGTAAAAATACCTCAAAAATTTTGCGATTATTTGATTTTCCCCTATAATTTCGACTTTTGTGAACATTTTCAGCACCAAATTTTGAAAATCCGAGAGAAACCGCCAAAGTTATAGCTTAACTAATTGGAAAGGCATTTGATCATCATCATATGGTTTATATATGGTACATAAATGCCAATTATTAAATGGGGCCGGGCCTGGAAAACTTCCCAGGGCCGGGATAGGCTAGTAAGGGCACTGCATTTACATACATACTCCTTGCTCATAAATCACGAGTCATGATTTTACATTAATATAAATTTGCTCAACCTAACGGCCCTTCTCACCCCATCGATCATGTAGCATAATTACTTACTTCTTAAGTGAAAAATAAAAATTGGCCATCACACCACATCAAATTTACATCAGTGACAATCATTGCACCCTCGTTAATTTAAATCGGCTCTTTCTTAATGCCCGAAGGATTTATGATCTTATGATAGACGACGAGCCTTCTCTCCCCATCGACAATTCTAACGCCATGAGCATAATAATTGGACGCCTTGAGCTGGGCGATGTACTCGTCCGGCGTAAAATCCACACTCAGCAGAGTTTCCGTACAGTCGGCCGGAGTTTGAGCGACTTCCGAAATGGGGTCATCATCCACAGGATTTGATTTCGTCTCTTGATCCGGAAGTAATTTTTTAGCTGACCAAGCGGCATCACTGGGTGGAAACAAGGTCGGATTCAGTCTGATGTACTCACCCGGATTTGTGAGGAAGAGACGAAAATAATAATCCGATTTATTCTTGGGGGCATTGGCAGCAGGACTGTTCGATGTTTGTTGCTGGAAAAAATCTAAAAGACGTGATTTCGATGTTGATGGCATTTCTACGTTTCCCGGCTTGATTGATTTGTCCTCAGTCTCTTGAGAAGATTCTTTGCCGGGGACAACGTTTTCTGGAGAATCGACACAGCAGCAAAAAGTCCATGGCTCCATAATCGCAATTGGAGTGATATCTTGGTCCAATTGTTGGCTAACTTTTTGACGATTTCGGTATCGCGGTTTCCACTTCTTCAAGGAAGAAGTGCCAATTTCTTGAGTTGAGTTGTCATTCGCCTCTGGTTTCACGGATTTTGCAACTTGTATTTTCTTTCCAGGAAATGTTCCTACGCAGTCTTCTTCCACGTTGTCGCCATAAAGTGACATCTCTTCAAAAAGCTGTACCACTCCTGCCTCCGGAGTCGGCACATTGTCCAAATCCACGCCACGACCGTAAGCTTTCTTAAGAATTCTCTCATGTAAAGGAAACTCTGCCATTGGGCGATGAAAATGACGCGCCGTCCTCCACAAATGGGCGACGTGTGGCATATTCTTTAAGAAAAACAAAGGCATAGATTGCAAGAGTGTCGTAATTTATAATTTGACGAATGGAAAACAAACAGTTGGATCACAAAATTGTCGGAAATATTTACAAAGAATAATTTGTTTACCTTTTCCTTATCGTGGGAGACTGCTCGTGTAAATAAGCATCCCAATTGACTATCGAGCACGCGGGGGAGATCGAATGGTCCATTTCTCTTCGCCACGGTCTCCGCCGTGCCGACATAGATCCAGATGAAAGTCAGCGCTTCCGCGGTACTCAACGGCTTTGATTTAACGGCACGGACAAGTTCATCTATAATAATTAGGAATGACATGTAATTTACAAACAGGTGTCAGAAATGTCTAATTTATCAGAATTTTAAAATTTCTGACAAGTATGACAAGGTTAAATTCTCATAAATGTCCATATTTGCATAAATGTCGGTGATATTGGAATTATGACAAATTGTAATTGACAAATTTGGGCTTGACACGGGCAAAATCTATAAATCCTTACATAAAATCCAATTAATGTTCCGTCCTTCCTCGAAGATGGCGTTTGTCGCAGCGGTGACCATGGCCTCGATGCGGGGGGCGACATCGACCGGTTGGAGAACACGGGAGGCGAAATCATTTCTAAAATCTTGACGCAAATTCATAAAGGTCAGAGAGTTGGCTCGATTTAATTCCTTGGCTGACTTATTCGGAACGACCGGTTCGTTCGAGGTCACATCTTGTGCGGAACCTTGCTGCATGTTGTTGCTAAAAATTCAAACCAATTAAATTAAGAAATGCGTATTAAAAATTGACATTAAATTAGAATGTCTAAGAAATAAATTTTATGAAAAGAATTTCTGCAATTGAAACCTTTATTTGATTGGACGAAAATTCAGTTTTAGAATTCGCTTCCCCCTAGGTTTTAGCTGGAAAAATGGGGAAAATATTGTATATTTCAAAATCTCGTTAAACCATATTAATTGATTAACCAAACTAATTTGGTAATATCAAACTTTCCAGAAAATGTACCGATGGCTTTTGTATTAATTAATGTAAAATTTGGAAAAAATATGTAAAAGATAAACTTCACATTGTCAGACTTACAAACGTATTGTTCTCAAGTTTCATGAAAGTTGAAAAATATTATTCCACGTGACTAAATTGGCAAACTATCCACTGGTTAAAAATTCTACGACCTGTAATTTAATATAATGACAATATCAATCAATATACATAGATTAACCAGCAACAAAATATGTACAATTAATTAAATTTAAGAAAACTCAGGTAGCTTTATTATCACTGGCGGAAATAGGGGTACGCAGGGTACGTCCCACGTATCGGCCCCCGCTTAATAACGGCCCCAGCGGGGCCCTTACGTCGAGGGGCCGGGGCCCCGGCCCCTCGACTTCGTTATAAATATATTATTCGAACTTATTCAATAATAAATTTTTAAAAAAACTAAAAAATAACGTCATGACTCATGACCAGTTTAATAATTATAACTAACTGTATTTAACTGGTAAATCTGTTAAACTTTGGGCCCCTAAGTTTTAATGCACAAATGTCTGGAATTATTGAAATATCTTTAATTTGTTCACATTTTTTTAAATGTGCAAATTGTTTTAATTCGATAAAATTTTAGGAATTGTAAAAACTATGTAATGTGCAGAATTTTTTAAGTCATGCAATAATTGCTTTGAGATTCTCTAATTTTTGACATAATTCATTTGTTTGAAGATTTGTTTGAATAAATTGTGAATAATTTTCCCGAAATTTGGCATGGGAATAACGATTTAATATTATGATTTGTATTTACAAAAAGGTTAATTGGGGCCTTATCTAATAGGTGTCAAGTTGACACTGTTGACCACTAGCTGGCCGTGAAATCACAAATAGTGGAATGCTCAGCTAGTGGGGGCCCATCTTATTAAGGTGCAAATTTCAGATAAATAAGTGAGGGGCGATCTATAAGTTATGTCACAAGCTGGGATGGAGCAAATATAAAATAATTCTTAGAAATAAGAAATAGTAGTTCTGAAATACCTTAGTATCACGTTTATATTTAATTTTAATGTTTTAAAATTTAGTCGTCTATATATATTTCTAAACTTTTTTTAAATTCTCACTACAATACACAGATTTAAAATTAAAAACCGGTTTATGGCCGGTTTTGTGAAGAGTGTGAAACCCGCTTATTGCAATTTTCCAAAAAATCTGAATGATTAAAACTGGTCTTTTTCCAAAATTTTAAAAACAATTTAAAGCCGGATTGTGGAGAAATTACTAAAATCGGAAAAACCCAAAACTACATACTTTCATAAATACGTAATTTGTTATTTGAAACAAGTCATTTCCTATTTTCATTCATATTTTGCTAACTAAAACCAAATAACGCAACGTATTTATGTTAAATAAAAGGATCACGTATCCATTGGCAAAACTAAATTTAGATAGGCCCCCAAATCTTGGTCACGTACCGGCCCCCAATCTATAGTTCCGCCACTATTTATTATCACTACAAAATTAGTTTTCTCACCTTTTTTAATGAATAGATAAGTGGGAACCTAGTTTGTGATGATAATCAGCGTATTTAATTCAAACCTGGAAATATTTATTAACTCGCAGACGAAAAGAGTGATGAAATATGAAATTCTACAGGCTGATAAATTGTGCTGCGTACTCTCGCGGCATTTCGTTCATGTCTCAACTTTTGTCCAAACAAAACTTAAGACGTGAAAGTTTACAATGAATTTAGTAAATTCAATTTACATTCGATTTAAGTTTACAATGACGTGAAAGTTTTTTGAATTTATTTCAGAGAAAAAATTTCTATAAGTATGTATGGAAATTTACGAAATTACGAATTTTTGAACGTTTAAGTTAATTTTTAAAACATGCTTTGGATCATTTGATATTCGGTTGGACATACGTTTCGAAATAATTGCGAAACTGTAGTTTGGTCATAGTCGGAGAATTAAAATGTGAGTTAAAATTTGCATTAAGTTAGGCCTGGAAAACGTTATGTCACGAATCGGCCGAACCCCCCCTCCCCATATGTCACACTTTGTCACGGATGCTTGGACCCCCTCCCCCCCATCTTCAGCGTGACATAATTTATGGATCGCTCCTAAATGTTTATATAAATTTATATCTATGTGTCTACACATGGCTAATTAAACTATACATTAACAAGAATGTTTTTAACGTAAAAATGTAAAAGTGGTATGGTAATAATGAGGAAATAACGATATTTTTATAAGTGAAGTCATTAGTAAATGCAATCATTATTTAATATGCAACGCTAATTGGCAAATTATGCTCTCCAATAAACGTCCGCAAATTGTCATTAGTCTCCTCGTCCATCTGTGCAAATTTGTAAAGTAAAAATTCATCTCTTTCCACATTTTGGCAACCGTAAAGTATAAAAATGTACCAGAAATCCAGTAATAGTCACGCTTCGAATCGTCCTGCACGACAAAAGGGCATCTAGCATCTCGTCCAACAGTCTAAACTCTGCGTGACGACGATGATTAGCAGTAAATTGAAGTGTCGTGTTGGTCAAACCTACACATTTCATGGCATTTCTTAAATGTTTATTATTACGATATGCAAATTAATAACCTCTCCACCCCGTCATTCCTCCTAGTACGGCAATGACCAGGAGCGACCCAAAATCGTGGTCGTAAGGGCCATCTATCTCGTGCTGTTGATAAAAGTACGGAATCTCAACCTCGACATCCCCGCAGGTCAACCCCCAGTCACCGAAAGATCTCAACGTTTCCATCAAAGAGGCAAAATATTGATCAAAATCCTGGACGAGTTTAACCCCAAGCTTGAACTTAAATTCCTTCACAGACGGGAAGAAATTCACCAGTTTTCTGGCAGTTTCTCCATCCTCGTTGTCAATTTCGGGGTAATGGGTGACCGAAATATCGAGCGAGGTTATCCCATCATGGGGCAAACGGTAGTTCTCTAGCATGGCAGAAATTTCATGCTCGAACGTAGTATCGTAGGCCAGGAGGGAGAAATGCGTTAATTTTGGGAGATGAGCGACGCTCAGGGAGTCCTTAAGGATAAACCCGTCGGCAGCAGTAAGTCTGAGGTGGGTGAGGTTCGGGAAGCGGAAATTCAGCTTAAAATAAAAAATAAATAAAAATAAAAACTTCAGAAAATAAGGTATTTTATAGAGTTACCTCAATGGCGTCAGCATCCCAACCGAAATATTCCCAGCTTAAAGTTTCCAAAGAATTTGGACAACTTTTCAGCATTTTCGTCATCCCAGAAATTTCGGACTCCAAACTGCCCCAAGCATAATATTGGAACATGAACCTTTTCAGTTTTCGGCATGGCGTCAAATCCAGGCAGAAAATGGTATCGAGATCGAATTCTTCCAGGTTGGGGGCAGCGTTGACCAGATTTTGACAAATGGCGGATATCAGCGCCCTCGACAAGTATTTTCTAGGACTGCTCGGGATCCTTAAGAAGACCACTTTCAGATTTGGGAGGGGTCGAAACTGAGCCATGTCGGGTGGTGGGGCTTTTTTATCGAGATAATCTCCGTCCGCGGTGATCCAGATTTGAGTCAGGTTTGGGAACTGATAAGTGCTCCAAAGTTCCTGCAGGGGTTCGAACGCTTTGATCCGGACGAACTTGAGGGTTTCCAACTTGTCAGAAATCTCGGGTAAAATTATGACAAAGTTGGCAGGCAGATGGGTACAACAGGTACAAATTGTTGAGAAGCAACAAAACTTGTACGTGTAGAATAGTAATTCTACGTTTCTGCCAAGTTCGGGATTAAAGCAGGCCAGGGCGTCATAGTTTATGCGGTTTCGTGGAGTCCAAAAGACGAGGCAACCCTTCTTCCCGAGATAAGCAGCGCCCACGTCGGCCCAAAGGGTGCACACGAGGCGAACTGACTTCAACGTGGGGACGTCCAAGGAGGACAAGACCTTTTGAAGGATCTGAAAAAATATTTGCGTAAATTATAGGATACGTTTAATTTGTGTAGTATCGCAAATTGTATGTCGAATGAAATATGAGAAATTATATATTGCCAAATATGAAGTAATTAATTAAATACCAGAGGATTGAGCAAAGCCATCGTAGTCGCTGCGACATCAAGGTCGTCGTCGAGGTCAACACTCTCCAATTGGGTGGCCCCTTGGTCAATCTCGACCAGCATGGTGGTGTCCTGCCACTGTCTGCTAACTAAAACCGATAAATTAGCAATTACAAAATTGGCAGATTGGTTGTTCATTAAAAATTGAGTATTGAGTACGTAGCATCATTATTTATTACATATAAAGAAACAATTATTCTAAATACATAAGTTCGAAGGCAGACCTTATTAATTTTCCTCAGTAAATCACGAGCAGATCTTGTTTTAGACCAGGAGCGAAGTTAGTTTCAAAATTGGGAATTAATTCCAATTAAAACTAAAACAAATGTACTTCATTTTGTGGTCTCAGCTGTGTGTTATAAATACGAAAGGGAGTTAAATTCGCCGCATTTGATGCAGGGGTATTTTGAGAAGAAGTTACCCTTTCTCAACTTCAAAGTTTCGCATAAACTATTATATTTGCATAAATATGTGATTAAAAATGTGATTAAAACACTGTATCACTTATAATTGACATTTCATGATCTATTTAATTACGCATGTAGCCCATACTTTTATAATCAATCATGATATAAATCCTAGTTAAAATTAACCAAACAAAGTATTACTTTAATAGCACTTTCTTGTTAAACATATGTCTGAAATGTCATTTCATTTATGTACATAAGTTTGCTTAATATTTATTATTAAATAAATCATGTATCGCAATTAGTTGCTTATTAATGTTGGATATAAATTCATAATAAGTACAAACATGACAATCACATATAATTTAAATTGGTTCTTCCTTAATACCCGAGAGATTTATGATCTTATGATAGAAGACGACCCTTCTCACCCCATCGACAATTTTGACCCCTTGAGCATAATAATTGGACGCCGTGGTGTGGTCGATGTACTCCTCCGGCGTAAAATCCACCCTCAGCAGAGTTTCCGTACAGTCGGCCGGAGTTTGAGCGACTTCCTGTTCCGGGACGGGATCATCCACCTGATTTGCTTTCTTGCGTTTTGTCGGTGGGTCCGGAAGTAATTTTCTGGCGGACCAATTTACGTTATCCTTACTGGATGGAAATAAGGACGGATTCATTTCGATGTACTTCCCCGGATTTGTGAGAAATAGAAGAGATTCGTTATCCGTAGTTTTCAGGGGGAGATCAGAATCATTATTGTTGGATGGCTCGTGGACAAAATCCGGCGACGTCATTTCAACATTTTCCGGTTTCATGTTGCCGATTGTTTTGCTATTCAACTCTCCAACTATTTCTGGCGAATTCACAGAGCCAAAAGTCGATGAAGATGGTTTCATAATCTCCCCTGGAGTAAGATCTTTGTCCAACTGTTGGCTAACTTTTTGACGCAATTTGTGTCGCAATTTCTTCTTCAAGAAAGCCGTGTTTTCCTCCACGTTGTCGCCGTAAAGTGACGACATCTCTTGAAAAAGCTGATCCATTCCTGCCTCCGGAGCCGGCAGCTTGTCCAAATCCACACCTCCATAAATTCCCCTCAAAATTCTCTCGTGACAACAGAACTCTGCCGACGGGAGATGACAACGTCGCAGCTTCCTCCACAAATGGGCGACGTGTGGCATGTTCTTTAAGAAAAGAGGATTATAAACTTATCGTAATTTTATGATTAGGAAATACAAGAAATTTTGTAACTTGTTTTTTTACCTTTTCCTTATCGTGGGAGACGGCTCGTTTAAATAAGTACCCTAATTGGCTATCGAGCAAGTAGTGGGGATCAATTAATCCACTTCTTCTCGCCACCGCCTCCGCCGTGCCGACATAGACCCAAATGAAAGCCAGCGCCTCCGCGGTACTGAACGGCTTTATTCTACCCTCCATGAAAAGTTCGCCCATAATTGAGTATATATATCGTTTCTTTTTGTCCTCAAAAATTGCCCTTGTCGCTGCCGTGACCATGGCTTCAATTCGGGGGGCAAGATCGACGGGTCGGAGAACACGGGAGGCGAAAGCATTTCGAAAATCTTGCCGCAAGTTCATAAAGGTAAGAAAGTTGGCCCGATTTGCTACCCGCGACGACTTTTTCGGAGCGACCGGTGCGTTTAATGAAGGGTCGGTGAATGCAATATCGGCGAATTTGAAACGTGGCAGCATGTTCCCTAAAAATTAAATGAACGAAATTGCTATAAAAAATTTGGCATATTTACAATTAGAATTTAAATAAATAAATTTCTTCGAAAGAATTTAAAGACAATTGAAACCTTTATTTGATTTGACGAATCTTGCGTATTTTGGAATTTACTCGTCTCGAATCAAAAAGTTTTGCCTGGAAAAATGGGGACAGTTTTGTTTATTTCATATTTCTCTGATAAAATTTATTTATTTGATTGTGTTCCGTAATATTTGTGTATTATTATGTTGCTAAATGAGAAATAGACTTTGTATTTCAAAATCCTGTTACCAAATTTTCCAGGAAGTGTATTGACGACTTTTGTATCAATAAATTAATGCACAACTAAAATTGGTGTGAAGGATAAAATTTATATTGTCGGGAAGAAAATTGAAAAATTGTCCACGTGCCTAGATTTGCAAACTTTCCACTGGGTTACAATTCGCGAAGATTGGATAGCCCCATACGACAAAATATATCTTGGAATAGACTGTTTCTTTCGCGAGGATGCTTTTTGGACGTGGGAAAACAACTTTTGAACACTCATCCATGCCCACTCTCGTTCTGTTTTTCTCTCCTCTTGTTTACTCAAGTCGAATAATTATACTGGAGAATTAATTATAAATTATAACAAATGTTCCAAATAATTAATAAACTTCAACCTTCCTTCTTTAATTTATTATTTTGAACTGGTTCTTATTCTCTTCTGTAGTGATTGGGGAGTGAATTTTGTAAATTATTTTTGGTAAAATTGCATTATTACGGCCTAGCTCGGATTTATTTCAGTGGACTAGCTCGGATTTGGCTGATAATTTTTGTGTAAATACCTATTATGGTCCCCTGAGCAAGAAAATACTTTTTTTTTGCGGCGGTCTCGAAAATTAAAATTTCTAGAAAGCTTCGAAATTTTGTATAAAAATTATTTTTTGCCTCAGATTTTCCTGAAAATGATTTTATAGACTAATTAAACTATGCTGAACAAGAATATGAAGGATTTTTTGAAAAACATTCAGTAGTAAAAAAGTTATAAATTATTGAATTTTGTATACAAATTTTTCTTGGATGTTCCAGAGAATTTCAAGACTTTGTCTCAGTTTCCCACACGATAGGAATATTTTGTAGTAAAATCAGATTTTCGGGGTAAGATGAGATTTCTAGTTTCCAGCACTCCTAGGTAGCACTACTAGCTAGCTCTCCCAGATAGCTCTCCTAGGTAGCACTACTAGCTAGCTCTCCTAGGTAGCAATACTAGCTAGCTCTCCTTTTTCAAAAGCCATTTTCATGAAAATCTAAGAGAAAAATTATTTTTATACAAAATTTCAAAAATTTTTAGAAATTTTATTTTTTGAAACCGCCGCGAAAAAAGGTATTTTTATGCATATGGGACCTTAGGGTATTCACACAAAAAATTTCAGTCAAATCCGAGCTAGGCCGCTATACTGCAATTTTACCATAATTTCTATACCAAATTTCAAAAATTGACAACGTTTTTGTTTTTCGAGACCGCCGTGAAAAAATTGAAAACTTATTTCCGCTATTTTGATTAAATTATAACCCATAAAATGAATGATTTTCGTTCAGATCATTTGTTGTATTGTAATATGATGCACACTTTTCTGTGTGGACGTGCTCTGGTGCTAAGTGTGGAAAGGCCCGTGCACCGCACCAAGTTGAGGCAAGTTGAGCTATCTATCTAACAGAGCTACATTTCTTATCGTGTGGGATAGCCCCTGTACAGGCTGTAATGCATAATGTAAAGATAATTTTAACCAGAAATAAAATCCACCATTAAATTAATTTAACCAATGTCAAGTGTCTTTATCAAGCACAAAATAACTGAGTTTTCTAACCTTTTTTAAAGAATAGATAATGCTCGTCTATTTTGTCAAGATAATCAGCGTATTTAATTCAAACCTGGAAGTATTTCTTAACGCAGAGATGACATATTAAACGAGAAATCCTACCGGCTGATTAAATAAATATCGCTCGCGGTTTTTTTCAGGTCCCGTCTTGAGACATGTGCAGCTATTTAGACGCCAAGATTGCCGCCAGCCGAACTCAAAATAGCAGCCAGCCGCTCATCCCTCAATTTGGCAGCCAGATGCCAGCAAAAAATTATCAAATTTTCCCAACTAAAAATCTCAAATTTCCCCAAATTTTAAAAAATCTTAAATTTCCCCAAATTAAAAAATCTAAAATTTCCCCAAATTTTAGAAAATCTCTAATCTCCCCAAATTTAAAAAAATCTCAAATCTCCCCAAATTTTTAATCTCAAATCTCCCCAAACTTTTGAAAATCTGAAATCTCCCCAAATTCTTAATCTCAAATCTCCCCAAATTTTTAAAAATCTCAAATCTCTCCAAATTTGTAATCTCACATTTCCCCAAAATCATTAAACATGACAATCAGTTATTTTAAATATTCACTGGTTTTTTGAATTTATCTAAGCATTACGGTGTGAGGATTCAATTGTTAGATGCAAAGATGGAAGAGTATGAACTTGAAGTTTCAAAAATTCTAGCCAATATCCAGTTGCTTAGGGGACTTACATAGGAAGTTCCCTCGAATTAACTAACCTCGAGGGTTAGGACTTAGGTTCCTTAGTTCAGGTCGTGCGAAATCAATGGGTCCTTCAATAACAGATACCCAAAGGTTTAATTTCTTAACCAAAACTTCACAAGGGCAAGATTGGTATAGTTGTCAGAAATTTATGAAATATCGATGAATGGTGCAATAGAAGAACAGGATATGGATGTACAAGAAATTCAGTTAAATTTGGTAAGATGTGAGTGCAATTGTAACTCAGAGTTTTACTGTTAATTAATTTTATTGATTCTTTATGAATTAGATCTTGAATACACACTATTTATTTAACGAAACATGGGAAATCTAACCAGAATAATCTTCTGAATTACGGTGCTCAGTTTCTCCTCATGCATGTAGGTAAGGAAAAAGTTATATCTTTAAGTAACGTGCTAAATATATTTAAAATTTCAGGGTTGCACCAGCATTTGGCTGGTCTGTCGAAGAGCACTACAATCCAGTCGAAATAAGTTTAATATTTAGCATTAACTATGCACATGTTGCCCAGTGTAAGACTATATTCCTGGTAGCTTTTTAGTACACGTTATAAACTAAAGCATAATATGTTTGTTTTTAAGTTACACTCGATCGGGTGAATCAGACTTTAAGGACTACATCTTGTAACCCCAAAACATTGATGGCTGGCACTGAAATGATGACGAAAGAAATAAATCCATTCTACGCTAAATGTGACTCAGACAAAATACCCATGATTTTCTTTATATTAAGTATGTTTTAATTATGTTCTTTATTTTAATGAACACATCTAAATTTGGCGGTGCGCAATGACGACCACGACCCTTCTCCTCAACCTGTTCGAGATAACATGCAACCTTAACATAACTATACTTGAAGTGAGTTAGTTATGTGCTGTGCGAATGGAGCTAAACTCACGAGAAACCCTAGTCTCAGCACAAGGTACTTCAGGAGGCCGTAGGTTTAAGCTCCACCCGCACAGTACATAACTCGTTCACTTTATGTATAATCGTTATTTAAACATTGTTCCAGACCAAGTTTCTTCCATGGAGGCAGATCATGGGGTACCTACAACTAATTAAATAATCTCAGTTATTTCATTAATTCGACTAACAATTCGATTATACTTTCAAAGGACCTAGATGAAGTGTAACAGGTGTACCTCGAATCACTTGCAGATATTTTCCGATTTTTTTAAACACTTAATAAGAACAATAGCTCGTGTATTACAAATCCAGAGAGAGTGGTGTTGCATTTACTTCAGCTTCTATGCAAGAAACTTCGATATTGGTAAGAGTATTGTTCTCGTTGTAGTATTCGTATGCGTATTGTTGTCGTTGTGACTTTTCTTTAAACAAAATTCACAAATTAATTCTTAATTTTATAGGTTGTATATGTCTCAACAAGGACCTATAAAGTGAGGTTGAATAGTAACGTACGAGAATGGACAAGACGCAGTCAAAGGGACGAAGGATAACAAAGGAGAAGCTGGTCATACCACAAACATAAGTATGCACAACATCCGAATCTAGCCACTTTCTTCCACTTTTATTTTTGAGACGAGGTCTCAAATTTTGAAAATATACAAAATAAAATAAAAACTTACGGAATTTGGCAAAATTGTTCCACGAAGTTGAACACCACGAGTTTAATTTTCGGTGGATTGAAATAGAATTTCGCTGAACTTTGCTTGATTGACGCCGTCTGCAGGACTGAGCTGTAGCCGTCCATAGGACCGTTCGTTTAAAGCTTGACAAGTGTTGTGACAACTCCATTCATAACTTGAACAAAGGATACACCTCATAGAACGAAGATATTTTTAACAAGTTCTTGAAGGTTACTAGAAAATAATTGATGTGTAAAGTTTCTGGTAAGGAAATACATCTTTTGTTTCTAGAGTTTGATTGAATTACTGTGACCCTTTTGTATCAAAGTGTGAACGGGACACTTTGTGGTTCCTGTAGGCTGATCAAATGTCATACAAGCTCGATAATTAACCTTATCATGAAAATCACCGACCTGATGGCTTAATCAGCCTGTAGACTATGCCGTGAAATTCGGTGTTTCCAGGCTGTCGTGGGCGTGGTAGAGGTGAAATAAGACTGAGGCTACTTCGTTATGTGTTCGAGAGGGTTTATTTATAACGACGTCTATCTACATACCTCCATTCGTACATATGTTCCATCGATGTGCCGCACCCTATCGCACCCAAGCGATGTGGTCTGGGGAAAAGTGAGATTTCATTTCCGATTTGCACAGTACTGCAATGTTTAAAATATTCAGGGGGTATTGTAATTGAAGTTTATTGTAATGGGAAAGGTGAAATTTCCTAGCCAAACTGAGATTTTGATTTATGCAATGAAATTTAAATTTTATATTGTACTCTCTAATTCGCTAAAGTACGTATTGGTCCCAAATTACTGGGGGATCACTTGCAGATTAAATTTTATGTCATATAAAGGCAGAACCTGCACCACGAGTTTAGTTCTCACGTGAAATGAACCAAAAATGGGGGTTCACTTTACCGACCCCACTCTTGTGGCTTATGCGTAGCACTTGGAGGATGGTGAAAATTAAATGCTGAAGTCTTTAGGCACATTTAGATACAATTGGTTTGTTCACAAACTGGGATGGAATTGGATAGGCAGGCAGCAGCAAACACAGGAGCTGCAGCAGATAGCCGAATTCGTCTGAACACCCACCTCCTGACAGGCCTGGTCTTTGCAGCTTTGATGGCTTTCATTTCAGCGATGATAGGCTGCTCCATTTCCCGTAAGTGACCCGGGGAATCCAAATGTTCATTTATCAGGTATCGCTATTTCGAGAACACATTAATCGATGTACTCGTAGTCAGCTCGTACCTGATGCTGTATGGGACCTGACAGATTAAATTAATTCCAAATTTAGCTTTAAATTCAAAAATTCCTTGCTCCCCTAACCTAAATAAATGAATTAACACAAAAAACACGAGAAAAACTTTTTACACAACTTTTGACACAATTTACTTTCAACTACTAAAATTGCAATGTTAACAAAGGATGACATTTTTTCAAAGCTTAGGGAGCTCCGCAAGAATTCGTCTGATCCCTCCAAACTTGACCTGTCCGACTTCCGTGTTCTTTCCGATGTACGCATAAAATCCATAAGACATGATCAGGTATAGATAAGATCTCATTTGCATATTTATCAGACCTCAGCGGAATGAGTGGGTAAGGCGAGGACTGTTGGAGTGAAAGTTATTATGCAGGAAGTAGGGTTGAGGCCCTCGGGGAGAAACTTGGATGAATAA